TGAGGGCTTCGCCCGGACATCGACCAGCTGCCCAAGCATGGGCTATTTAGCAGCTAGTCGATCGCGAGCTCGCGCATGCGTGTACCGCGTGGGACACGGTCGACATTGCCAAGTCAATGGCGCCGCAACGACGATGCGATGACTTCGACCGCGACGACTCCTAGTAATACGCCATTAACAACTAACTAACAACTCGCTTCGAGAGCAGATTGCTGCCACTGCGGCCTTGTACTGCGCCGAGGCGCCTCCGGAGCCATACTGCCTCTGGAGCACCCCAACTTGATCGTCAACAAGGTCACGACACGCGCGAAACCTGTGACAACCCACAGAACACAGTACACATGTTCTGGATGTCGGGCACGAGAGGACCAAGCTCGCCAAGAAAGACGCGGCCACGCCTTGGACGATTGCACTGTTCGGCGTCGGGCGCATCGCAGGCGCTGGGTCGCAATTCTAAACTGCGACGACGCTGCTTTTGTATGCAATCCATTGATTTGTGCCGACATAAATCGATCCCAAATACTTTTTGTGCGAATTGCGATCATCTCCGGCTGTATCAGCGCCGAAGGACTGCAAGCTCGGAAGCGACCGTGGTCATTCGGTGAGTAGCTCAGAGTACCCCCATTTCCGGTCGACAAGCAAGCTGCCTTTGCCAACGCCAACCACGGCGCAGCAAGACTACGTGAACCCTAGCAGTTTAGAGTGGTGTGAACTTGGAAAGACTAGACGAGTGAGTGCATTTGGTGTGGTGAGATGATCTCACCACACGCTATCATCAGAAGCTGAAGTATTTTACACGCGATACGCACATATTTCACGCGACGACGACTTGGTAGGTCCTCATGCGCACATTGGCCCAATCTGTGATATAAATACCTCTATTATTGGATCGTACGACCGGATAATGTGACGCACCGCACGTGTAAAAAACGTGTGAAATCACAGCCTTTCTTCATGTCTTCTTCCTCTGAGCTTAAAACGTCAAGCGTCGCGCTGCGCCTGCCCGACACTGTAGCCGTCATTGCACATAGGCACGACGAGCTCACACGGCGCGCTGTGTCGAAGCCCATTGATCACGATGGCTGTGGACAGTAAGTCGGCCCACGCTAGACGCACGCAACCGTTGGCATCTCGCGCAGCATTTTAGCCATGGCAAGTCGAATGGAGCGACTGCAATGGTATCGCTGTTATACCAGTCGATGCAAGTTGCAAAGTACCCTACAAGCAGCGTGAAAACTCTGCATATACGACTCCTGTGCGCTGTTGCCAGCGGGGCGAGGTTGCGTGGCCGCAGCGTGTCAAAGTAGCGTATCAACGTGAAGCGATATCCGATATTGGCTCAGCAGGATTTCGAAGCGGATTCTGGTCCAAAATGCTGTTTGAAACAGCGTTTCCGGCTGAATCAGTTCAGAGCAACAACCCGATCCAAGGTTGAGCACCGCTGGGTCCGGAAGGCCAAGACAAGTTCGTCGCGCCAGAAGCCACCGCCAAGCTGCGCTTCCGAGCGCGCGCTCTCTCTAGTGCGCAGCTCCGAAGGCGAAGACCAGCAAGAAGCTCGCGATCCGCCAACGTGAACGCGAGGTCATCAGCCGGGTCCGCGCTCGTTGCCGGCCACTTATCGCTCACGCACAACTTTCAGCGGCTCAAAGCAACGACCGACGACGACAAGGACATGTCCGACGACGACAAAGTCATCTTCAACTACAACGAGTGCCGTCGTCGATCATGTCCTCATTGTTGTTAGGCATGACCTTGGGGTTGTCAGACACGTCCTTGTCGTTGTCGTCGTCACTTTGAGCCCGGCTGGAGCATGCGCAGCAAAGTTGAGGTAGGCGAGAATGAGGTCGTCGATCACGAAGATGCACACCAGAAACGCTGTCACCCTACTGTAGATCATCGTCGTGACATGAGGCATGGCCCTTCCTAAGGAACCAAGGCTGTCGCACATGTAGGCAACCACCAGAAGCGAGCAGCCCGCAGTTGGCCGGGGCATTCGGCCCGTAGTTCCCGTAGTCCTAATCGATTATGTCTTCTTCGCTTCGATTGTCCGAGCTGAGCACGATCGCCACGAGCACCATGGTCTTCCTCTCAACGACGTTGGGGGCAGCAGATCCACCGCTCCGAGGACCGTAGCGAGGCGCCGGAGCGAGGTGCTCATCATCGCAGTGCAGAATCAAGCTATGATGCGGTCTTCCTCGCGACACTCTCCAAAGCGGCGGTTGACACGAGGCTCGGCCTAGCGCACGCAGCAACAGCCGCCAACGCCCACTGGCCAACGCCAGCTTTCACGTCTTCTTCCTCTCGGCGTCAGCTTGCTTGAAACATCAAGCGTTGCGTTGCACCTGCCCGACACAGTACTGTAGCCGACTTTGCACCCAGGCGTGACGAGCTCACACAGGGCGCTGTGTAGGAGCCCATTGATCACGATGGCCACCGCTCCTTTGACGCCAACGGATGGACCGCTCCTTTCGCCTCATCTTTGTATCTGGCGTCTGCGACCAATAACAATGTGGCAGTGAGCACATCTCTGGCGGTCTAGACGTTGCCTCGGAGCCTCTCGCTCCTCCGACGTACCATCGATCAGCCTTGTTGTAGAGTCCTTGCAGCGTCCGCCAATGAGTCGACCGGCGTCACGGCACCACGCTAGATGCAAACAGCCTTTGACGTCTCGCTCAGCGTATTATCAATGGCATGTAGAGTACAGGAGCCTGCGTCGTGCGAGCTATGACTCGGCGAGTGGGGTCCACCACGGGATGGATCTCTCCGTGCCCAGCTCACTCCCAACGACCAAGTGCTAACTCCCACGCATTCAGGCGTAGCGCTACGTATGCGAAGTCTTTGTGTCATAATGAAGATAACGCGGAACACGTTCATATATATATATATATGTAGAATCAAGCTGCGCCACTGGCAAAGATGCGTGGGCGCATGCCCTCCCACGCCGCACAGACGGCCGTGAAGGGCTATTGCAGCCTCATTCTAGCCACGCTCCAGAGCAAGGCCCTGCTACCTTTAATGCCCGACCGAATGTAGCGTCACAAAGCACGTCCAATCCAGATTGAATATCTGGACGTGCTTTGTGATGCTACATTTGGTCGGGCATTGAGGGTAGCAGGGCCTTGCTGTAGAGCGCGGCCAGAATGAGGCTGCAGTGGCCCTTCACAGCCGTCTGTATGGCGTGGGAGGGCATGTGCCCGCGCATCTTTGCCAGTGGCACGCGTTTGGGAGTAGAGACCGAACGCAACCTGTACATGCGGCATCAAATACGGGCCGCATTGTCTTCCTCGTACCTCAGGTTGAAGAACACCGTACGTTTGGTATCGCGAGTGGGCTTCCAGCACAACGTCAAGTGTGCGGCGCAGCTGCCGACGTCAAGTCGCCGTGCTCGCACAGCTTGTGCACCACGGCGGTGAGCTGGATCTGGGCCAGCGACGCACGGCCCGGCGGGAACTTGAAAAGACTCGAGAGCCGATCAAGCTTTTCCTTGGCGTCTTCGTGTTGCTGCGCGAGTTGCCGGGTGCGTCACCACCCGTAGCATCTCGCATACGCCGCTCGCCTCGTCAGTACGGCAGTCGCTTTCAAGAACTGGTGGCAGAAGAATAGTGATCGAGATGGAGAGATACTTCTTACGGTATGCACTTCCTGAGGCAGCGAGGCAAGTGCAAGTGCGTACCCATGAGTGATCGTTCGTGGCCTTCTTTTGGATGCAACGACGAGAGAAGATGAAGAAGATGTGGCGCGTGTGTTGAGGCGACAAGGCGCAGCGATACTAGTACATGTGCTGGAGGAGATCTGATGACGTGGCAGCCCGACGGCTCACCTGCTTGCGTCCTACTTGGACGTCTTACTACCCCATGGCACCAGGCACTGCTGCGTAGTGAAGCGTAGCGGAAGCGATGAGGCCACGCAGGCGACGAAGTGACAGTCGAGAAAGCCGTACGCTTAGTCTTGTTCGTCAGATCAGAATGCGTCGGATGAGATATTGGCGCCACTTTCTGAAATGAAATTCCTACGAGATCGATGTGACTTGAACGGCGCATTTCCTCTGCAGCTTCATTTAGGAAAACACCGAGCGCCGCAACAATGAGCCTCGCGCGCTCCACCGCCTACTTCCTCCTTTGCTCATGGTCAAAGCTAATTTACACGTGTAGGCAGTCCTTGCTGACGGTGCCGCTCCCACAGTGGATGATGGCCCGCGTGATCCGCATCGCGGACGCGCTGATGGAGGTGAAAGACGTACGTCTATTCTCAAGTCGTTCTATTTGCCTCCTCCGCTTTTGTAGGTGCACGAGCATGTGAACCTCCATGGTATGAACACTTACTACATGCATATTCATTCGAGGCTTGAGGCAAGGACCAGCTTGGGGCGCGCTCGAGGGCTCGCTCTATGCGGGACATCGGTCGTTGGACGCTTGCGATCTTGTCGCTCCAAGTCGACGGCATCCACTTGGCTCTCGTTGTCAACGCGGCTGTCGCGATCTGGCCGACACAATACTTGCTGCCTTCGTGGTACTTGATCGTGGGCGGCTTTGGTGTTATCGGCGCCGCTTTCTGGCTCAGCAGCTACTCAACCTCTCACTGTGACGGGAGCAATTCCGTCGAATGCGTGGCCAGTGCGACCACCGACTCAAGGGCGAGGTTGAACGCGGGCCCAACGAGCAGCCGAGACGAGCTGTAGGCGCCACCGATGTGTCGTCCAACCTTCGTACCTAGCGTCAAGCGTCTGCATATGTGATTCGCGCTCACTGTCGCGGCCATAGCGTGTCAGGAAGCGTACCCTCTTCCGTATACTCTAGTACCAGTGGATTAATGGAAAGATACATTTAATGTTGGTTCCGATGGATTTCGTAGCGAATAGCTTGTGCAAAGTCGGTCCTAAATTCTGTTTGGAACAGCGTTTCACGGTTGGGCTGAGTCAGCTCCGAGCCCGATTCTAGGCAGAGCGCGATGCATTGATGGAAGGCCACGACACGTCCGACGCGGCAGGAGCCGCTGCCAAGCCGCGCTTCCGAGAGTGCACTCTCTCCAGTGCCCAGATCCACAGCCAAAGGCCAAGCCACCAAGAAGCTTGCGATCCGCAACATGATGGACGCCAAGCCATCGCCGTCATCGAGTCGCATGGCCTCTTTTGGCTCACACGCAGCGAGTCCGCCTATGTCGTCCAGCGCTGCTTTGCTTTCTCGATGACAGTCTCCAGCGCGTCACGTCGGACGTCTATCGACGCATTCCGTTGCGCCGTCTTCTTCTCTCGGCGGTCGCGTCGACGGGAGCCGACCAAGCGGCACCGACCGAGTACGTTTGCTAGTACGTGGTCTTTCTCAAAGGCACCAAGTTAAGTCCTCTCTTCGATCCTCAAGCACGCTCTTAATGACGACGATGCGGCCCACCAGCGCACAGCGTCTCGAGGAGCCTTCGTCCACGGTTGCAGTTGCAATCGAACTCATCCCCTCGTCCGCCACGTCCCAGAGAGCAGCTATGGCGCGATTCTGGTTTCCTGCCCCATCCACCCCACCCGATCCATAGTATCCAGCCCGACCACGTGGATAGAACGTGGTCGGAGGGTACGACCCAACGTTCTCAAGCTACTGCAAGCACCCAACGCCAGTAGCCACTTCTCCACATGTACTACCAGTGCTCAATATACGGTCTTCGACGCCCGTGTCGGTGCCAACCTCGCTCCGCCGCACGCTCGCGAAGGACCAAGTGCGTTTGGAGCTCGTGACCCCGCAGCCAGGAAGCGCCGGGTCGTCGCGTCCTCCGGCCGGCGCGAGTCGCCCAGCAATGCTCGGGCCGTTCAACGTCGTCTCGGGCTCTGCAGCGGCCATGAAGGCCATTAATGAAATCAAGACGCGCACGGCAAGGCGGCCAAGAAGCGTCAAGCGCGGGCCATCATCTTGAAGAATAGGCCCGTGCCCAAGCCAGATCGAGCTTCTTGGACTGCTGGTTCAGGAGCGGGCTCATCCCTTAAGATTGTGGCCCGCGTCTGACGCTTCACAGCCGCCTTGCCGTACGCGTCGACGACACGATCGTGCGTCTTGATTACATCGTCGGGCTTCATGGCCGTCGTAGAGCCCGAGACACATGCGTAGATAGATAGGTAGTATGACGTTTATTGGCGATAATCAACACAGCAATGCCGGATATGAGCTGTCAATGCAGGAGGATGGTCGCGATCTGCACGGAAGTTTCATTCGACAGCGTCGTGCGTGGGGACGCCCACGATCGCCTCCGTCAGCTCGGTTCCAAGCTCCTTGTTCTGCGCCATGGCGACGAGGTGCGACTCGAAAGACGGGACAATTGCGAGATCGGCGACGAGCACGCGTGGCTACGTCTTCATGAGGCGGGCAGGCTACGGTACAGCGCCGGAGCGACTGACGTGCCCACCCATCGCGCCGTTGGTCGGGATGTCGGGTGCGCTACGAAGGATGTGACCAAAAAGGCCCCACTGAGCTTGAGCGAACCGGGACCGAAGCGGCTTGGTATGGCAGCCCTCGTACCAAGCGTCGTTCGCGGGTACTAGTAGTGACCACTGGCGAGCGGACGCAGTTGCTGCCGGCTGAACCTCCCAAGTCGAGCAGCATTAGTGTACGGTGTAGATCTCAAGTCGCGTCTCTCGCGACCTCTACATGCGCCAAATACGAGCTACGATTTCGGACGCGGGTGGCTTGGATCGCGCTGCTGGCTTGTCGTTGACGGCGTCGCACTGAGTCTCCATGTTGTCGTTGGTTGACTACCAACTGGTCGAAGTAAGGATGGTCATAGAGGACGCCCAACGCGTGCACGTCTGGTCTTGTCCAGCGACGCGCGGCCTGGCTGGTACTCCAGACGTCTCCTGAGCAGCGCATGTATCATATGAAGCTCACCTCTATGGTGTCCTTTCTGTCACTGCGCGAGTCGCCTGCCGCATCTCTCGGTAACGCGGCCGAGCTCGTCCAACGTCCACGTCTCCGTCATATCGGGGCCCGTGCTGGTAGCGAATACGAGTTGGCCAAAAATCTCCGCATTGAACGGAACCTCGTCATGCACAGAAACCGCATGCGCTGCCGCGACCTTGCCAACGGCGAAGCCGATGCTCACGTCCGTGAGATTGAGGCCCTGGGCCTTCCATCACCGGCAGCTGCGTCGACTGCTCGGGATCTTCCACGCGAACACTCTTGCCGACGTCGCGCTCTACGGTCGCTGCGACGGCGAACCGGTGAACCGGTGAGTGCTATCGTCGCCCACCAGCGCTAACGGCGTCTAGGCCACGTTTCCTTAGGGCGCACCAAGACCACGCTGCCAATCGTCCTGCACCGCGACCTCCAGTCGCTGACGCCGCCTCAGTCGCTGGCGTCTCTCGAGGATCTTGACAAACGGCGTAGCTATGCCGCCGACCGCGACACCAGGAAGCGTTTTACTGGCCTTGTCGTCCAGTGCCTCTCCCGCGGCCACTAGCGTCGTAGGGCGACGACAGAAGAGCCAGACGAGCCCCCGCGCCGCCGCCTGCGCAGCCACGGCCCGGCGAGCAAAAGAAGAAGGAGATTGCTAGTCTCTACGTATGCGAAGTCTTTGTGTAACTATGAAGATAACGCAAAACACGCTCATATATATATATACCGGTGCATTCAGGTCGAGGGAGCTGGTCGAGGGGCTAGTTTATGTCCATAGCCTTCCTGCCGTCTGAGTACCCACCTCGATGACCGAGCCCCTCAGTGAGGCAACTTCAATGTCAGCGTGTCATCCGGATAATCGATAGAACTTCAACAAGTCGCTGGCGCCACGTCGTATTTCATTTTCAACGCCCTTTTTCGTCTTTTATGTTGCTATTCGTATCTATACGTCGACACAATTATGTCGTAAAAAGCATTTACGCCATGTGACGAAGAACAGGCGGTATCCAAGTCGTCCGCATCGACCCAGCTGCGCGGATGGCATCCAACTTCCTCCTTCGCCATTTCCCGACTTCCATTGACGACGAGGATGATCTCGGTCCTCACGACAAGCGCGCTCCTCGCGGCAGCCCTCGTGGCAGGCGTCGAGCTCGACGCTGGTGGCTACCCGCGCTACTGCGGCAAAGACATGGCATTTTCCAAGGTGCAGCCCGTGACCGACCCACGTATGGCGTCGCTCACGCTTCAGCACGTCCAACTGCTCGTGCGCCACGGCGCGCGCACGCCGTATAGCTGGCAGAAATGCTGGAACGGATACAACGAAGCGTGGAACTGCCAGCTCCGCGATCGCATGGCGCCCGTCCTGCACACGGCCGATGACGTACCGAGCAACATGACCTTTGACAAGATCTACACAGACGGTCAAAACGTCTTCAAGGGCACGTGCCTCCTCGGGCAGCTCCTCGACGAAGGCTACACACAGCAACAGCAGAACGGCGCGTACGCTGTCTCAATCGCTGCGTTTCGCCAAGCATGACGCCACGCGATAGGAACTTTCAGGCTGCGTACGTGGGTCGTGGCCACCGTGCGCTCTTCCAGGTCGACGAGCCCCTTGACCTCGCCACCTCCAAAGGCACCTCTCTACCTTTGTACTCGCCATCTTACTCGAGCGCCATAGATGTGTATTTCGAAAGCACCGACGTCCACCGCACCGTCGGCTCGGGCTACGTACGATACGACAACTTGTCCATCCTATGCTGATGGAAATATCGTCATGTCTAGATCATTGTCCAAAATATGTTTCCCAACAGCTCGTCGGACGCGGTGCCCTTCCATACGGGCGACATTGGTGTCTCGGCGCTCGTGCCCAGTGCCGACTTGTGTCCTGCCATGAACGTGCTCGGTGGCCAATGGCAAGCGTCCAACGAGTTCCACAACTGGGTCACCAACGCCTCCAACGGAGCGCTCGAGGCACAGTTGGCGGCGTATGCCCCGGGGTACCGCAACGACATCCTCTTCGACTGCCTCATGACGCAGCGCTGCACGAACCGGACGCTGCCCAACAACATGACGCTCGACTTCTTCCATGCGATGGTCAACAAGCTCGAGACGTCGGCGCTCCTGCCCTACTACTTTCGCGACAACATTTACGCACGCACGGCCAGCGCGCGGCTCGTGGCGCAGATGCGGAGTCGCTTTGAGGCCGCCATGGCCGGCGTCGGCCCCCGCTTCTACCTCTCGATCGGTACGTATCATGGTCTTTCCTGCAGTATTATATCAAAATTCCATGGAATTAGTGCACGACTCGACGCTCAACCCGCTACTGGCGGCGCTTGGCGGCCCGACGTACCTCACCGAGTGGGTGCCGTACGCAAGCCACGTGGCGCTGGAAGTCTACTACGAAAACGCCACAACCGACTATTACTTTCGACTGCTGTACCAAGGCAAGCCGCTGCCCGTGCCTGGCTGCGTGACCGAACTCTGTCGATCGAGCGACTTCTTCGCCATGACGTCGTTTGCGACCAACACGAGTATTTGCGCTGTCGCGCCCCGGGTTCCCACCCCCAAGACAAGTACGTCCTGTGTGTGTATCGCCATGGAGGCTGCATATGACGTGTAGGTCCCCCAACGACGTTTTCAACAGTGACGCTCGTGCTGGGTATCACGGCCGGTGTCGCCGCCGGTGTCGCGATCGGCCACGTGATCACGGCCCGCGCCCGCGCCGGCTACAGCATGGTGTAGGCGTTCCGAATCAACTTTGTTTTGTGGTGTCGGGTGGTGGGACTTGCTTCGCTTTGGGTTCTGTCCTTGATTCTCGTGCGCGTCGGTGTCAGCGGACGGGGTGCTGCTCGTCGTCTGCCTTCGAGTTTGGCGTTCTCCTTTCCTTTCTGGAGTATTTTACTCGAGCGCACCTTGCTTCTCATCTGTGTCCAAGCACGGTGTCGCGTGGGCCTTTCTCCGTGCAGAGCACCAAAGCTGATCGTGCAGCTGGAGGCGCGTGGCGTCCAGTACCTTGCAGCTAGATCGCCAGCGAATCTCGATGGCGTTGAGGCCAACTCTTTGCACGTGCCAGTCTGGTCGAGTGAGGCATGACGAGGCTGACGCCATGGCATACCCAGCTTCATGGCTGCCACACGTCGCACGCAAGCGATTAGCTCCGGGAGCACCGTGGAGGGATTCTTGTCGCGTCGGCAGCGCAGCCCTCGCGCCAATTTGACAGAGCTTTCTCACAGTATTTCCGTACGTTTTGCATGTCAACTTCCCTCCTCCACGAGTCTGCGTTTGCGCAATAACCACATGTACCGCCTGACTACAGTGTGCGTGTTTACGCATTTGCTACGTATTCGGGCTTGCTTGCACGGTGCACCAAGCAAAATGGCGCCTGGTTTCCACGCCAGCCGACGTGTCGTACACTATTTCACATTGTCAAGTTCAAGGTGATCGACCGATGCCACTCAATGGCAACCGGAACGCTAACCGGACAAATCAGCCGAAGATTCGTTTTCGGTTCGAAAAAATCTGAGCTGCTGGGAGGCTGGCGGCAGGATCCCATCCGATGTGCCATTTGACATCCTGCGCCACACGTCGACCATGCTCTCTGTCGGTAGCCTCCTTGCTGCGGGCCTCGCGCTGGCGTCGGCAGTCGTCGTCGACCACACGGGCTACCCGCGCTACTGTGCCAAGGACATGGCCATGGCGGCCATCCAGCCGGTCGCTGATCCGCAAGCGGCGAGCATGACGCTCGTGCACGTGCAGATGATGGTGCGCCACGGCGCGCGCACGCCGTTCAGCGACGGCAAGTGCTGGGACGGCTACAACGAGTCGTGGACCTGCAACATCCGCGATCAAGTGACGCCTGTCTTGCACGCCCAGAGCAGCGGCGCGTCGCCGACCCTCGTGTTCGACAAGACGTACGTTGCTGGCAGCAACGCCTACCCCGGCAACTGCCTCCTCGGCCAAATGGTTGACGAAGGCTATTTCCAGCAACAGCGCAACGGCGCGTACGTCCATCCTAATGCTGCATGGGATCGTGGGCTCATGGCGCTTGTAGCAACTTTCGCAAGGCGTATGTCGGGACCGGACCGCTCTCGCTCTTCCAAGCTGGCGCAGCCGTCGACTTGACCAACACCTCGGGTAGGCTCGTCATGCGTGAGCAACTGAGGTTGACGGCTATGGTGCTAGATGTCTTTTTCGAAAGCACCGACATGCAGCGCACGGTCAACTCGGGCATGGTACGCTCGAACTTGCTGGATGATGTCACATATATGACAACATTGTGCACGTAGATCATTGCACAAAACTTTTTTTCGGATGCGACAACGTCGGCGCCGATCCCGTGGCACACCAACGACTTGAGTTCGTCGTTCGTGACACCCAACCCGAGCATCTGCCCGGCGCTCAACGACATCAACGCCGAGTGGCTGGCGTCAGCCGAGTACAAGGCGTGGGCCACCAACGCCACCAACGTGGCATGTGAGAAGGAGCTGCAGACGCACATTTCGGGCTACAACCACGTGCTGCTCTTCGACTGCCTCATGACGCAGCGGTACGAGTCGGATTCTGCGCGTTTCGCCGACCTCACGTATCACGTGTAGGTGCACCGATCGCATCTTGCCCAACGGGATGGACCACGACCTCTACCTTCGGTCGGTGAGCCACGAAGAGAAGGCGCAGCTGTTCCAGTACCTCTACAAGAACAGCGCGTACGCACGCACGGGCATGGCGACGTTCATTGCTCGCATTCGCACGCGGTTGCAGGCTGCGATCGCTGGCTACGGCCCGCGCCTCATCCTCTCGGCAGGTACCCACCACTTTCCACGACGTTTTGCATCTCATACGATTGGTAGTCCATGATACGACGTTGATGCCGCTGCTGGCCGCGCTCGGCGGCGACACGTACCTGACCGAGTGGGTGCCGTACGCTAGCCACGTCGGCCTCGAGCTCTACTACCAAGTGTCGACAAAGAGCCATTTCTTCCGCCTCTTGTACCAAGGCCGGCCGCTGCCGATCTCGGCGTGCGCCTCGGGTGCGTCCTCGCGTCAGTATATACTCGGTAGGGTAGCATCACGCGCGTAGAGCTCTGCCCCGTCCAGGCGTTCCTTGACATGTCGGCGTTTGCAACGGCGCCCAACGTGTGCAAGGTGCCGCAGCCCTTTGCGCCGCTCAACGTCACGGCGATGCCGATCCCGCAAGGTACGCATCTTGCCCCGTGTTGCTTGTAAGCTCATGCTATGTGTATAGCCGTGCTCACAGGCACGGATGCGACAGAGAGCAGCGGGTATGGCGCGACGACGATGGCGTTGATCGGTCTTGGCGGTATCGTCCTTGGTGCCGGCGTCGGCTTTACAGCTTCCAAACACTGCATCAACCGCGCCGGGTACAGCCAAGTGTAATAGCTATATTTTGTACCGTCTTGTGTCTACCACGTCGTATACATATATATATGAACGTGTTCCGCGTTATATCTTCATTGTTACACAAGACTTTGCTTACGTAGCGCTACGCCTGAATGCGTGGGAGTTAGAACTTGGTCGTTGGGAGTGAGCTGCGTACGGAGACGTCCATCCCGCGGTGAACCCACTCGAGTCATAGCTCGCGCGAGGTCGTACGCAGGCTCCTCTTCCACGTGGTGCATTCACAATGCCATGCCCATTTCCCGTCCGATGGCGTCCTTGTGGTGCGAGCACTGGCACAGGGTTCGATCCTCACCAGCCTCCCCCCATCCTTAGGCAAATTGAGAAGAGGACAGCGCATATTCCAGCCTACTCGAAGTACGGGCCTCGGAGACGACGAGGAGCACAACCACGTGAGCACGTCTTTTCGAGCTGACCACGTTCGACGCTGACACCACCGTGAGGACGACACAGCTTCCGATGTCGTACATCAAGAGTGGTTTGACATGCACAGTGCGTTCGAGCGGGGCGATTATACTCTAAACCTAGTCTTGGAGGCGCTGGCGCGGACCGACCTTGGCCGCCATGCGCTCAAACCATGGCTGGAGCTGCGTGTGCGTCATGAGATCCTTGAACGTCTCGAGGCCGACGATTGAGCGAAAGACACCAAACACCGAGACGTCCGTGAGGTTGGGCTCGTCGCCGCCCAAGAATGGCTTGTCGCCAATCGCCTCGAGCTACACATCGTCCTAGCGCTTAGCCGGCATTGTGGAGTAGATCACAGTACCCACACGGCCGTCACGTCGTACAGCGCTTGGCGCTCGTCTTCGATGCCATACTTCTTCTTGAGGCGCTTGGAAATGAGGTACATGGCGGCCGCGCCAGAGTACCTACAGTACACAGTGATGAGCAATGATAGGCGACTCGACTACGAGAGCTCACTTGGAGAGACGGCGCTCCCACGCGGTAAAGTTGCCTTCGGTCAAGCAGTACTCGAACGCTTCGAGCGCCTCGGGCACAGTGCGGTAAATGTTGGGCGGCATGAGCGTAATCTACGCATCCATTCAGGATCGGACGAGGAGCTTGCCAAGGACGCAACGTACGAGCTTCATGTCGACCCACTCGGACCACTCCTTCTCGACGGGCGGCAGGCCGGCGTGGGCCTGAAGGTGCGCAATGATGTCGGACGAGTTGGGCACGACCTAGAATCATGCACATGAGCGCTTCTTCGCCAAGCGTCGCCACGTACGACGCCGTCGATGACCGCGACAGGCACTTTGCCATAGTCGGTGATCTCCTTGAGCTCCTTCTTCGAGACCGGGTTGACCTCGACGACCTTGTACGGGACTTGCAGGTAGTCCATGACGGCCTTGGTCTTGCAGCAGTACGGGCACGGCTCGTACTGGTAAAAGGTCACGGCCGGCTTGGCGCTCTTGAGGAGCGACGCCGAGTTGCTCGAGTAGGCGGCCATGAGGCCGAGGCCGCCGCCGAGGTGGCGCAGGTTGATACTGCTGCGGAGGCGAAACATCGCGAAACTTGCTTCGGCGCCAGCCACGACCAGTGCTAAAGATACGGCCTGCGCTATGATTGGTCAATCGGTTGAAAATTCGACAGGTTTCCACCAATCCGATGGCGGCAGAATCTGAGATGGCTTCCAACGATCACAGCGTCGATGCACCGAGAGGAGCCAACGAGGACTGGAGCGTGTATTGCTACCGCTGCTGTTGCTAGAACGAATATATATACCAAGGGCATACAACACTCGCAATTATTAGCTACGACGACTAGGCCATGTCGATTTGCATTGCATTTGTACTTGCTGCCACCTGAACCGGATCGATGACAGGCGCGACGACAACCTTGACGATGCGGTGTTGGACGATATGTGGATCGGTCTACAATACTCGTCGCGTCGTCTGCACGCAAAACACGGCGGAACTCGGACAAGACGTCGCACCACAGGGTTCTCGATAGCAGTCTGCATGATAGGATTCACAGAATCGATGAGCCACTTCCTGCCGCCGAATCGACGGACACTAGTGCAATACCCTCGCTCCGCGCCAAGGGCGAGTGCACCAATACACATACCGGCTTTGCAGAGCTAAGAGTCAAGACGTGCGTGCATTGGTGGAGCTATGGTAGCCGCGACCAAAGTGCAATCTCGTCAGCAGTCTCGTAGGTGGAAACGGCGTACATGTCGTATTGAGGCCTCGAGGCGGGGGCCGCGTGGCGCCACCCGACCTGTTCAGCAATCATTTGGCGTCGGCGCCCGCATCGCATGATGCAGCATCTTGTCAAGTCATCACGTCGCGCCGATTACGTATGCACGACGTCCAATTGGTGGCCGCGTATCTTGAAGGGGCGTCACGCGATGTGCGCAGCCTGATTGTGTAAACAGATTCGAGCTGACGTCAAAGCCGAGCGCTCGGCGCAGCGCGCCACTGCGTCACGCGTGCGACGAACGCCTCGATGGACCTTACGCCGGCACCGACGTGCGACCTTCCAGTAGCTCGTCGGCGCTGGTGCCAACGCAGGCATCGTGCTCCTCCACGCTCGTGCTGCCACATCATATGTAACGTATACAACCGATGCCATTGGCTAAAAAGCTGGTGCGCTAAGCATCGATTGGCGTAAATTCCAAGGTTCGCGTCTTGTGACCTATACATTATCCAAGTTGCGCGGCAACCATTGGCGCTGTGATTTTGACCAATCGCAAGCGGCTTCGAAAATCTTTTTGTCCGCGGACGAGGTTGCATTTCCCTTTTTGATCGCTCCGCCCGATGTCGTCCTCGTCGCCCCGCAAGCTATCGGCCTCGGCGCTCGCCCCCGCGGCCAAGAAGCTCAAGACGTCGTCGCTCCTGCGCTTCTTCCGGACGCCCTTCCTCTCGGAGCATGCGACCTCGACGCTCAAGGCGCAGTGGGCCGACGTGCTCACGAGCGTCGAGACCGAGATCTGCTTCTACATTGAGCTCGAGGCTTCGGCGTCTTCCTTGACGACCGAGGAAGAGCAGTGCTTGACGTGGCTCCTCAGCGAGACCTTTGAGCCCAAGCAGTACCGGTCGACGTCGTTCTTGGCGCCGGCGGCGGCCGCGGCCTCGTGGCACGTCGAAGTCGGCCCGCGCATGAACTTTAGCACGCCGTGGAGCAGTAACGCCGTCTCGATCTGCCACGCGTGCGGCCTCACCAAGATCAAGCGCATCGAGCGCAGCCGCGTCTTCCTCTTCCACGCCAAGCCCGGGAAGCTCACGGCCGACTTCAAGACCACGTTTTTGGCGACGCACATGGACCGCATGACAGAGCAGGTGTACGAGACGCCGTTGACCGAGTTTGGTGTCTTTACGACCCCCAAGCCCGTCCAGCGCATCCCGATCATGACCGAAGGCAAGGAAGCGCTCCGCCGCGTGAACGAGGAGAACGGCCTCGGCTTTGACGAGTGGGACCTCGAGTATTACACAAACCTCTTCAAGGAGAAGCTCAAGCGCGACCCGACCGACGTCGAGTGCTTTGACATGGGCCAATCCAACTCGGAGCACTCGCGCCATTGGTTCTTTGGTGGCAAGATCGTCCTCGATGGCCAGGAGATGCCCGAGACGCTCTTCAAGATGGTCAAGTCGACGCTGACGCCCGAGTCGATGAAGAACTCGATCATTGCGTTCCACGACAACTCGTCCGTCATCAAGGGCGCCAAAATCAAGACGCTCGCGCCCGCCAACGTCGGCGGTCCGTCGGCGCTCGCCGAACGCAACCTCGAGAGTCACGTGCTCTTGACGGCCGAGACGCACAACTTTCCGTCGGGTGTCGCGCCGTTTCCGGGTGCTGAGACCGGCACGGGCGGCCGCATCCGCGATGTCCAGGCGACGGGTCGCGGTGCGCACGTTGTCGCTGGCGTCAGCGCCTACTCGGTCGGCCAGCTCTGCCTCGAAAACTACGACCTGCCGTGGGAAGACAAGGCGCTGCAGTACCCGAGCAACCTCGCGCACCCGCGCGACATCATCGTGCAAGCCTCCAACGGCGCGTCGGACTACGGCAACAAGTTTGGCGAGCCGGTTGTGACGGGCTTTGCGCGTTCGTTTGGCATGGTGCTGCCCAACGGCGAGCGCCGCGAGTACATCAAGCCGATCATGTTTTCGGCCGGCGTCGGCCAGCTCAACGCGACGCACTGCACGAAGGGCCACGCCGAGGTCAACATGTGGGTCGTCAAGGTCGGCGGTCCGTGCTATCGCATCGGTATGGGCGGTGGCGCCGCTTCGTCGCGTATCCAGGACGCCAAGACGGCCGAGCTCGACTTCAACGCAGTCCAGCGTGGCGACGCCGAGATGGAAAACAAGATGAACCGCGTCATCCGCGCGTGCATTGAGCTCGGCGACAAGAACCCGATCGTGTCGATCCACGACCAGGGCGCGGGCGGCAACGGCAACGTGCTCAAGGAGATCGTCGAGCCGGCGGGCGAGCACCGTGGTGGCGCGCGCTACGAGGTCCGCAACATCCTCGTCGGTGACGACACGCTCAGCGTGCTCGAGATCTGGGGCGCCGAGTACCAAGAAAATAACGCGCTTCTGCTTCGGCCCTCGGACGTCGACCTCTTTAGCCGCATCTGCGCGCGTGAAAACTGCCCGTTTGCGCTTCTCGGGCAGGTGACGGGCGACGGCAAGGTCGTGCTCCACGACGCCCTCGACGACTCGACGCCCGTGGACCTCGAGCTCGACCTCGTCCTTGGCAAGATGCCGCAAAAGACGTTTACGGACTCGCGGCTGCCGCTGCCGGGCCAGGAGCTCGTCTTCCCCGCCGACATCTCGGTCACGTCGGCGCTTGACCGCGTCCTGCGCCTTCTCTCGGTCGGCTCGAAGCGGTTTTTGACCAACAAGGTTGATCGCTGCGTCACGGGGCTCGTCGCGCAGCAGCCGTGCGTCGGTCCGCTCCAGCTGCCGCTCGCCAACGTCTCGGTCATTGCGCAGTCGCACTTCCGCTCGCCCGAGACGGGCACGTTCACGGGCTGTGCGAGCGCGGTCGGTGAGCAGCCGATCAAGGGCCTCGTCAACCCGGGTGCGATGGCGCGTCTCACGGTCGGCGAGTCGCTCACGAACCTCGTGTGGGCCTGCCTCACGGGCTCGCTCCTCGACATCAAGTGCTCGGCCAACTGGATGTGGGCGGCCAAGCTGCCGGGTGAGGCCGCGCGCATGTACGAGTGCTGCTCGGCAATGACGGCCTTCATGAAGGACATTGGTGTCGCGGTTGATGGCGGCAAGGACTCGCTCTCGATGGCGGCCAAGGTCGGCTCCGAGAACGTCAAGGCCCCGGGCACGCTCGTGGTGACCATGTACGGCGCCGTCTCGGACGTCGAGAAGACCGTGACGCCGGACCTCAAGCGCGACGGTGGCGACCTCTTCTACATCGATCTTGGCGGTGGCAAGCACCGCCTCGGCGGCTCGGCGCTCGCTCAGGTGTATGCGCAGATCGGCAAGGTCGTGCCCGACATGGAAGACGCCAAGCTCTTTGCGGCCGCGTTCACGACGCTCCAAAGCTGCATCCACAACCAGTGGCTCTCGGCCGGTCACGATCGCTCGGACGGTGGTCTCCTCGTCGCGCTGCTGGAAATGGCCTTCTCGGGCAACGTCGGCGTTTCGATCGACATTCCCGCGGGTGTTGGCGCCACCGTCCGCGATCACCTCGGTGTGCTCTTTGCCGAAGAACTCGGCATGGTGGTCCAGGTGCCCAAGGCCTTCGAGAAGGATGTCAAGGCCGCGTTTGCCAAGGCGCACGTGCCGTTCGTCAAGGTCGGCAGCCTCGTGGCCGACGGCAGCGTCTCGGTGTCGATTGACGGCCATGTCGTGCTCAAGGACTCGATGGTGGCCCTCCGCGATACGTGGGAGGCGACGTCGTTTGCGCTCGAGAAGCGCCAGCGCCGCCCGGACGTGGTCGCGCAAGAGCAGGCGAACCTGAAGCACCGCAAGACGCCGAGCTGGAAGCTCACGTACACGCCGTCGCCGACGCTCCCGAAGGCACTCACGACGCGCCACGAGCACCGCATTGCGGTCCTCCGCGAAGAAGGCTCGAACGGCGACCGTGAAATGAGCTCGGCGTTCTACCTCGCCGGCTTTGAGGTGTGGGACGTGACGATGAAGGACTTGGTGTCTGGCAAGGTCGCGCTCGACGACCGCTTCCGTGGCGTTGCGTTTGTCGGTGGCTTCTCGTTCGCGGACGTGCTCGGGTCGGCCAAGGGCTGGGCCGGCGTCGTCAAGTACCACCCGAACGTCCTCGCGCAGTTCAAGGCGTTCCGCGCCCGCAACGACACGTTCTCGCTCGGTGTCTGCAACGGGTGCCAGTTCATGTCGCTCCTCGGCTGGGTCAACCCGCCCGTGACGGCCGAGCTCGAAGCTGCGGGGACGATCGAAGGCGACCTCAACCCGCGCTTCATTGACAACGCCTGCGAAAAGTACGTGTGCAACTTTGTGTCGGTCCAGATCCAAGAGTCGAACGCGATCATGCTCAAGGGCATGGCCGGGTCGTCCCTCGGCGTGTGGGTCGCGCACGGCGAAGGCCGCGCCCACTTCCCGCACCCGCGCCTCCTCGAAGACGTCCTCGACAAGAAGCTCGCGCCGATCCGGTATGTCAACGACGCGAATGAGATCACGAGCGAGTACCCGTTCTGCCCGAACGGGTCGCCCGAAGGCATTGCCGGCCTCTCGTCGGCCGACGGCCGCCACTTTTGCATGATGCCGCACCCGGAGCGCGCCTTCCTCAAGTTCCAATGGCCGTACAAGACACCCGAGATCGAACACGCCAAGGTCTCGCCGTGGCTGCAAATGTTCCAGAACGCCAAGGCCTTTTGCGAGTCGACCAACTAAACGACGCGTCCTCTAATTGTATTATGCGAAGTCTTTGTCTAACTATGAAGATAACGCGAAACACGTTCATATATATATGTGTTTGATCGAGATTTGCGTGTTGGACTATTGCAATTGGGTAGAAAGAACAAACACTGACGTGTCGATGGCATATCGGTAGGATGCGCGCTGCCCCGATGCCAATCTGAAGGACCAGTAAGCGCACTGGATGCAACTCCAGCTAATGGCCTCAACACACGATACGCGGCTCCATACTTATGACACTCTATCACTTCATTGTTGTCTGTCATATGACATAGATAACTGGCCCTCTTGACGCGTGCTCACTCATGCCACCGAGCTCCAACGAGCCCAACTCTGACACTACAACCAGGCGAGGTCGTCGACCCAAGTGCATCAGCATCGACTCGATGCGCCCAATACGTCCCTCAACCTCCGACTGCTTTCGTCACCCGTATCCCAAGTGCTCGAATGCCGCCGCGGACATGTCCAGCGTCGCCGTCCGACAAGCGGCCAAAGCACCGACAAGCGGCCAAAGCCGAACGCGCCGCTCGCACAACCCGCACACGCATCCAAGATGTCTCATCGCCATCGACCGACGCTATTTCCAAGACCACGACACGGAACCAGTGCATATTATCCCATCCCACCGTTCACACAAACTGTTTGTGCTGCCGCAGCATCGTGGCATTGCAGATAATATTACATAGATGCATTACTGGAGCATCGCTGGTTCTGGCGCCGCCGAGGCTTTTCCGTCGGCTCGTACAAGACGGCTTCGAGGAACTTGTTCCAGCACTTGTGCCGAGGGTCTGGGCTCAGCATCCGGGTCTCTGGCGAGATATACCGGGTGATGATATAGACACTGGCGATGGCAGCGATGGTGGCGACGAAGCCAAACTCGGCGATCGCCTGGGTGGTAAACTTGCGCGCCAACTTGTTCGTTTCCCTGCGCACGAATTCGTTGAAGCTGTATATGGCATAGCGCGCGAGTGGTGGCGCGAGGCGCACCGCGATCCAGAAGAGCGGTCGCAGGAATACGTGTGTGACGAACCGGAAGGTGATGATGACTTGATGGGTGCGCACGAGCCACACGAGGATTTGGTGAATGGCGTCCATTCTTGCTCTTGTTGGTGTTGCTGCTGTTGTTGCTGTTTGGATAATAAACGAGAGCGAAAACTCAATTTGGAGGTTGGGTCAACCTTCTGCAGCTTGGGCTTGGGGGCTTGGGGCCTATCTTTTATTTATACCAGCCAATCAGAGCCGACCGTCTCGTTTGAGATCTTCAATTTGAGGACTTGCTCTGAAAAAGGCCAAAACGCCCTCGTTCTAGGACCTATTTCGGAGTGGGATCCCATTTTTTGCGTGCCACACAGAAGCAGCATGAGCCGCCGATGGCACCAGTACAAGGCCGCGACCGTCCTGTCTACGCCTTCTTCGTCGCCGGTACACACTACACATGGGTCTCGTCGGCATGAGCGCCGACTTTTTGTCTTGCAAAACCGACTCGGACTTGACTTCGTCCAAGATGCAGAGGCAAAGGCATTGCGTCGCGCTGGTTGTTTGGCTCAAGACAAAGCTACACAGTTAACATAGAATACAGTCACAGACTATTTCGCGTGCTACATCTCGTCACGATTCACCAAAACACGAGGTTAACTCTAGTCGAGAGCTGCCCAAAAACAGACAACGGCTGCCACGCTGTCCGGCATCGTGTGCGCCGCAACGTCGTCTGGCGTGCGCCTCGCGAGCGACGCCTTCAGCGCGCGCGCGGGCAGCAATGGTCGTATCTCGTCCTACATAAGCTCGTCATGCGCGCTCAAGTCGCTCTCACAGCAGTTCTCAGTACACCTACGAGGATCTCGGCCGTGCGCCTCTCGTCTCATCAGCGACGATAGCGACAGGCTTGCATGCGGCTCCTCTTGCGCGCTGCTGTCATGTCCATCGCCATGGTGGGACCTTGCCGTCACGTCGTCCAAAGCCAACTGCAGGACGCTCTGCTACATGGCGCTTAGAAAAAGACAGCGTACGAGACTGTCTTGGCCGCGCTCGGCTCGTGCCAGGCGCTTGCTTCCCATCGCCTGGACAGGTGCGTTTGTTCGTGGAGTTTTGCGGTAAATCTTGCAATACGCGGCGTGGAAGAGCCTCATCGTGGCACGGCCATCGGACGTCGGCGTCTCGGGAAATGTGCAAAATGGGTGCTTCCGGCATGCGTACTGATTGGCAGAAATGGGTCACTTACTAGATATGGATTGGCCGCTCAATAATAATTGATTTGGCCGTTGCGATTGGCTAAAATGCTGACACGGCCACGTTCAATCCGTCGTC